CTAATTTTAAAATGTTTTCTTTTCTTCAAAGGACAAGTATGTTCCATATGACCATGATAATGGCAATGTGAGCATTTTGCCATTTTTAAACATAATAGATTGTTTTTAGAAATTAATTCTTTTTCTTTTGTTAAGCTTTCAAGCTTAACTTCTAACTCAAAATTTTTCTTTTCTAAATCATTTATTTTGATTTTTGAAAGTTATAAATCATTTTTCAAAATTTCATTTTGATTTTCAAAATCAACTCTAGCTTTCAAAATCGATTTATTTTCAATTTTGAGTTTTGAAATTAATTTCATATATTTGGAATTCATGGTCTTAAATCCCAAATACAACCTATTATAAGCATCTTGTAACCCATCAAAAGTAAATGAATTAAATTCATTTGAGTTAGAAGATACCTCGAATTCTTCTTGAGTGGTCATGAGGCATAGGCTGACTACTTCATCTTCATCATTGGAATCATCTTCATCACTCCAAGATGCAACAAATGTCTTCTTCCCCTTTTTCTTTAGAAGAGGACATTCATACATGACATGCCCCTTTCTTTGACAATCAAAACATACCGGGGGACTCTTCTTCTTGGTTGATTCATGTTTCACTTCCTTGGAAATCATGAATCTCTTGAGTTTCTTCAAGAGCTTGACCATCTCTTCTTTTTGTTCATCATCGTCTTCACCCACCTAATCACTTGAATCTTGATAGCTTTCATTAATGCCTATGTCCTCATTCTTCTTCTTCTTGTTTTTCTTCTCTTCCCTTTCTTTATCTTCCTTCACCATCATCTCATGAGTGAGAAGGGAACCAATTAGCTCGTCGAGAGTGAGAGACTTTAGGTTTTTTGCTTCGATAATGGCTGTCTTCTTTGATTGCCACTCCTTTGGAAGAGAGTAAATCATCTTCCTCACAAGCTTCTCATTTGGGATTATTTTTCCATATCCATTGAGACCGTTGACAATCATAGAGAATATATCCGTCATAGCTTTGATGTCTTCATCGGGTTTCATCTTGAAGTTCTCGTAGCTATGGTTGAGAAGACTTTTCTTTGATTCCCTCACTTCGTCGGTTCCTTCATGAGTGACTTGGAGCTTATCCCTAATCTCTTTGGCACTGGAACAAGATGAGACTCTTCCATATTCATTTGGGCCTAAAGCACAAAATAGAATATGTATAGCCTTAGAATTAAGCTAAAATTTTTCTGCTCTTCTCTACTCCAATCGTTGTACTTGCCGGGTGGAAAAGAGTAACCGTCCATGATTGAGTACCAAGCTCCTAGATTGTATGATTGAATGAAGTACATCATCTTATTCTTCCAATGTGTATAATTTGCTCCATTGAAGAAGGGTGGCTTGTTGACCGGTTGTGAATCCATAATAGGATATTCTTCAAGATAATAAGCACCGGAGGAAAAAGTCATTTATTTGTCGGTTGCGTCGGGAATTGGTTGAGCTTCTTCTAGGATTGTCTCAAGGTGGTTAAACCTTCTTAACGAGTTAGGCTCTGATGCCAATTGTTAGGATTTTCAGAAGCTCGAATCGACAACCGGAACAGTTTGTAAAGAGGGGTCGGAACGGTTTTGTGTTTAGGGAGTAAGGAGATTAAAAAATAGAGAATTGCACAACGATTTATAGTGGTTCGACTTTCTCAATCAAAGTCTGTGTCCACTACCTTAGCTCCTCACCAAGGATTTTCCAACAAATTCACTAATTTGTTCTTTCTTTTGAGGATAAAGAGTAACCTTACAAACTCCCTAGTTTTTCCGGGCTAAACTAGAACCTTTCCCTAGCTTTTACACGGGCTAAGCTAGAACCTTTCCCCTTTACAAAATGATAAGAAATGTAAACAAGAAAACCTCTCTAAGGTAGGTGTTTACAAGATTGAGCTCACAAGAACAAAATATATACAAGAGAAAGATGAAATAAGAATGAAAAATTCTTCTCTTATGTTTGATTGCTTGGATAGTTGTTCTATTACCTCTTCAAGTGTCCTTAGCTTGTATTTATAGCTTGGAATGTGTTTGAAGTCATATCTAGCCGTTGGGGATGTTTTGGAGCCGTTTGGGAATGATTTTTCTGCAAAAATAGGCTGCCCAGAATGGGGGGAATCGGTACCCCTTCATAGGGAATCGATACCCCTTCATAATATTCAAATATTATGACCGTTGGGCTGATGAACAGTGAGGGAATCGGTACCCTCAAGGGGGGAATCGGTTCCCTCCGAGTAATCTGTTATTTCTCGGAGCCAAACCATGCAGGGGGAATCTGTACCCGGGGAATCGATACCCCTGGGGGAATCTGTTCCCGGGGAATCGATACCCCCTGGGGGGAATCTGTTCCCCCTGGACAATCTGATTTTTCTTGAAACCCTTTAAAAAGAAAATATTTTTGGCTCGATTAAGGCTCGAAATACTTTGTAAAATTGTTTTAAAATAGTTTAAGTATAAAACACAATTTTACACTTTAGTAAGGATTAAAATAAACTTTGAAAGACTTGGAGTAATATTTTGATATTCGAATAATTACATCGAATATACTTAGAAAATCTTTTGTAAAATCTTAAAATTCATTTAACTTAATTTGTTATATCGAAACATCAAAATGTTTTCAACACAATCTAATTCAAGGTTCCATCATACCTCATCAAACATACAATCTCGAAGAAACCAAAGAGTTGTATTTGTTACAAAAAGGCTACATCCAGGAAAGCCTTAGTCGTGACGCCATCTTAATGACGAAACATGATTTGAACAACTCTACAGGCTTTATAGTTCGTGCACAGGAAATCCATGCAAATGATGAAATAGTAAAAGCAACACGAGACTGGCCTACACCATCTTCCATCGCCAAGAGTTGTCGAATAGTGCTAGGTGACCCTCCTGACGGGTTACCACCTGAAAGCCCTAATCACTATGCCATATCTATGAAGAGTCACGATTTACGAGAGTCTAAAGGTAAGTATTTTATTACTCATTTTTATGACATTCTAACGTACTTCTTCTCCTTCTTACAAGGTAAGGCTCGTGAAGTTGTCATCTATACTAAACACAACTCCTTTAAGTGTGTAACATACCGAGGTAAGCAAAACACAATATATGATAGACTACCACGAAGGTATACTCTTACCTATCAAACTTATACTACTGTTCCGAGAATTGAACATATCAAAGATGTATATCACGATAACTCGGATATTTTTGATATTTCTACCCATACTTTTAAAAGTGCTTTTAATGAGCTTTATCTTGTATATGAGTTTCCTTGTCAACTAAACAGGTTCTACAGTCCACAAATCTCCTCTTGAGAATCATTAATTCATGAACCACACTTAGGAGACTTAAGGGATTACTTTAACAAACCAGTTGACATGGTTTTTAAACACTCATTCTCGCCACAAACGAATAAAACCATGGAGAAATTATCTGAAATAATCATACAGAAAGCCAACAGTGGCCAACGCCATGTTGAATTTCAACCAAAACATCAGATTACAAGACTTGTATGCAAAAGAGGATTTCAAGACTACAAGAAATCAGTTCCTACAAAGAAGAAACCTCGACTAAAACGCATAAAGAAACATCACATTGATCCTGGTAAATGTTTCACAAGTTTTTCTTTCAACACATCTAAATCTCTTTCTTTTGGATTTTTAGATTCGAGGACGAATCCTTTTGAGGAGTGGGTGAATGATACATGCACCAGAGTCCATAATACATGCTTCTTTGGACTAATGTTTCTACTCGAACCTATTAGAAGAACAAAGTCTCGAAGATTCAAAGCATATCTATTCGGTAAGCATAATGTGAATGGATTATTAAACTATTCTAATGTTTCTCCCTTTAATGTTTCAGATTCGAGGTCGAATATTTTTGAAGAAAGGGAGGATGATACATGCATCACAAGGCTCACATCAAAGGAAGAAGTAATAACTCTTCCAAATGATCCACTCATCCAAGCTTTGGAAAAGAAGATCAGAACAGCAGCAGACTTGATACGACTTTTTGAATGGTATCCTGATCTTATTTGGTCGACATGTCTTCTGGAGATACAACCGTATGTATCTTATATTTCCAACGGTTCTTTAATCGTATCAATCCGATATCGGGAACTCAATACAGGATTTTGTATTACAACCGTTGTCTTCTGGAGATACAACCGTTGTATTACTAAAGACGGTGCATGCAGAAAATCCTATACGGGATTAATACAGGATTTTGTAAATATTACGAATTTTTAATATTTTTATTGATTATTTGTAATATAACTTAATATAGGATGATGCATTATCTTTTAGGATTAGATTTATTATTTTATTAGGAATTAAGGTTGGGTTAAAAATATTATCTTTAGTTATTATTATTTTATTAGGAATTAGAGTTAAGATATGTTTAATTTATTATTATTTTATTCATTAGTTATTTAGGACCTTTAGAACTCAGTCCCTATATAAAGGAGGCTTCATTAAACTTTGTAAATCAAGATTTCTTTGATTAATAATACAACGAGAGTTCGTTTTTGCAAGTGTTGATTGCCTTGTGCCTTCGAAGCTTCTTCTCATTGAGTTCTTTCAAGTTCTTGTGAGGGAGATTAATCTTCACACTCCAATTTGCCTTTTCATCGCGACTAGGAGGGTTGGTTAGAGCCATATTAACGTGTTTGCCTTTTCATAGCGACTAGGAGGGCTCGATAGGACATTATCCATCGATTTTCCACATATCCATCCACGTCATCAATCATCTTTACCGTTCACCTTCATAAGGGATATCTTTTGATTTCTTGGTTATCTTATTTTATTTGCAATTCTTTTATCTTTTTTTTATCTTGTTTTAATCTTATTTCTTATCTTGTTTCCAGCACACACAAAAACCCTAAATAACCCTATCTATTGCCGCCACCTTCCCTATTTGTTCCCATTGTTCTTTATTGAGTCTAGAGCTTTCTAGGTTTGATTCTTCAACAAGAGCAACATTCATCAATCCGCCACCGCTTCCCTATCAATGGGTGTCCATGACTTGCAACTGTGATTTCTTTTGGTGCCAAGAAATCATCAAGGGTAAGCTCAAAGTTGCAAAGAGAGCAAGAATAAACAAACCCATCCCACTGGATTTTGCACAACTAGCAGCTACATTCTTGAGGATGAGTAGCAGCTGGTGCCGGCAAAAGAGTAAGAGGGTGCTTAAGATCATAGGGGTGATTAATCTCAAGGCTTGATTCTGCACTTTTCTTATGAAGGTTAAAGAACGTCGGATAAGTACAATCCGAGCAGTGGTAAATCGGACCGAACAATGGATTCTTACATCCATAGCAATCGTTTGTGACTTCGTCTTCATGGTTTTCGACGAAGAACAATGGATGCTGGTGCAAACAGGTAGGGAAATTCGAAGCAACAGATACTTGAAGTAAAGTACAGGTTCCATGGAGATCGAAGTCACAAGAATCACAACGATAAGCAAATCCCCTAAAGCGGCGTTCACAGAAGTTACAAGTGTTAGGAAATAAACCGAGTACGAGTAATTTCCCTATAACCAGATTAGTGAGAATGCGAAATAAAAGCGGAAAAATAATACCCGAAATTGATAACGGAGTTCAGCCAATTGTGCTTACGTCTCCGGACTGCTGCAGATCTTTTACTAAGAGAGAAAATTTACAGGTGTTTACAAAACACTCACTACTCACAAGAAAACTTTCTTGTATTGGGAGAAAGAAATGATTTTTGGGATGATTTTGAAACTAAATGAGCTAAGGTATTTATAGTTGAAACTTAGGGACTAATCTTGTAGTTAACCCTATTTTTATTTCAATAAAAAATTAGGGCACCGAATTCGATTCCCCCAATTATTAAAAAAACCCAAACCGACGCCCCCAAATTCTAAAAAAATAAGCCCCCTTTTGTTGACTTATAATTAGGCGGTACTCCCCCACCATTTTTTTGACTTTTCTTCAACAATCTCCCACTTGAAGACTGATTTTAATCTATCTTCACACCTCGATCAATGCAGTTGCATTTCTGGTCTTGTTACTCTAGCATGCCAACTGAAGCTGAACACAACTTCAGTTTGTTCGTAGTTACCGTCTTTGCTAACATGTCTGCTGGATTTTGAGCTCCACTAATCTTTTCAAGTTTCAAAATCCCATCTTCCAGAAGAGACCGGATAAAATGATATCTCAATTGTATTTGCTTCATTCTGGAATGAAAAGACGGATTCTTTGCTAGATGTATAGCACTTTGACTATCGTAGTACAAGACATTGTTCTCTTGTTTCTTGCCTAACTCTTCCAAGAAACTTTGGAGCCAAACCATCTCCTTGCTGGCTTCCGTAACAGTAACATATTCTGCTTCAGTTGTGGAGAGAGCAACTATCTTCTGTAGTTGAGAAACCCAACTCACTGCAGTACCTCCTAGAGTATAGACATACCCTGTAGTGCTCCTTCTAATGTCAACATTTCCGGCTAAGTCAGCATCTACATAGCCTGTCAGTATCATATCTCCACCTTTGAAACAAAGTCTTTATTTGTGGTACCCCGCAAATATCTGAGGATCCATTTGACTGCTTCCCAATGTACTTTGCCCAGATTATTCATGTACCTACTAACAGCTCCCACTGCATTAGTAATATCTGGTCTGGTACAAACCATGGCATACATCAGACTTCCAATTGCTGAGGCGTACGTCACATTCACCATGTGTGCATGTTCTTCCTCCGTCTTTGGTGACTGTTCTTTGGAGAGTTTGAAATGAACACCTAAAGGTGTACTTACTGGTTTAGCATCTTGCATGTTGAACCTGGAGAGTACTTTGTTGATGTACTCAGCCTGTGATAACATCAAAGTCCCTGACTTTGTGTCTTTCTTGATCCTCATCCCAAGAATCCGCTTTGCAGCGCTCAGATCCTTCATAGCAAACTGCTTCGACAATTTTTGCTTTAAGTTTATAATCTCTTGCATGTCTGAGCCTGCAACGAGAATGTCATCAGCATACAACAATAGAATAATGAAGCTGTTGTCGAGCCTCTTGATGTAGCAACAATGACCTGCTTGGCATTTGGTAAAATCACTGCTACTCATGAAGTTATCAAACTTCTTGTACCACTGTCTAGGAGCTTGTTTTAAACCATACAAGCTCTTCTTCAACCTGCATACCAGGTTTTTCTTGTCTGCCTCTATGAAACCTTCTGGTTGCCTCATATAGATTTCTTCCTCCAAATCACCATGAAGGAAGACTGTCTTTACATCTAATTGCTCAAGATGTAAATTCTCTGCAGCTACAATTTTCAACACCAGTCTGATTATAGACAGTTTTACAACTAGAGAGAAAATTTCATTGTAGTCAACACATTCTTTTTGCTGAAAACCTTTGACAACCAATCTTGCTTTGTAGCGTTTGCTCCCATCGTGCTCTTCTTTGATCCTGTAGATCTACTTGTTATGGAGCGCTTTCTTGCCTGGTGGTAATTCAGCTAATTCCCACGTCTGATTTGACATAAGTGAGTCCATCTCATCTTTCATGGAAGACTCCCACTTGACTGAATCCTCCACTTGCATTGCTTCATCATAGCACTCTGGTTCACCATTGTCAGTCAGCAACAAGTAGTGCAAAGAAGGCGAATAACGTTGGGTTGGTTTAGGAATTCTGGAGGAGCGTCTTAGTTCCGGTGTGCCTGGTTCTTCTTGAACTGCTTCAGCACTGATCTGAACATCATTTCCAGAAATCTCCTCGAAATCAGTAAATTCCTTTGTTTCAGCTTTGGTATTTGAACTGCTTGATTCTACAGTTGACCTGTCTTTGTACATCACATTCTCATTGAAAATGACATCTCTGCTTCTGATGATCTTCCGATTTTCATAGTCCCAAAACCGGTAACCGAACTCATCACCGCCATAACCAACAAAGGCACATTTGTTGGACTTAGCATCAAGTTTACTTCTTTCAGCAGAGTCTCTATGTACATAAGAAATACAACCAAACACTCTTAAGTGTGAAAGGTTTATTTCTTTCTTGCTCCAAACTTCCTCTGGTATTCTGCCATCCAAAGGAACTGAGGGCCCATGGTTGATCAGGTAAGCTGTAGTGTTGATAGCTTCAGCCCATAGAAATTTGGGTAATCCGGCATGTATCCTCATGCTTCTGGCACATTCATTCAGAGTTCTATTCATGTGCTCTGCTACGCCATTCTGAATCTCTGAATCTCCTATTTTTGTACTCTCATCCATTGTCAGACCTCAACCGCTTGACTTTCAGACCAGTCTCATTTTCCACCATGGCATTCTATTTTTTGAAGGTATCAAAGACTTCTGATTTCTTCTTCAGAAAATAAACCCACACCTTCCTTGTAGAATCATCGATGAATGTGACATAATATAATGAGCCTGCAAGAGATGAAACTGGAGATGGTCCCCATACATCAGTATGAACCAACTCTAATTTTTCATCCTTGGGTGTCTTACCAATCTTTGCAAAGCTGACTTTCTTTTGTTTTCCAAAGATGCAATCCTCGCATAGTCCGACATCTAGATTCTTTAGATCTGGCAGCTTCCCTTTTGACAAAAGTGTCTTCATCCATTTCTCGCTCATATGGCCAAGCCTTTGGTGCCATATGTTTGATTTTCCATCAGCATCTGCTACTGTAATAATATTCTCTAAATTTGAGGTTATATAGAGAGTACCAGTTTTCTTATCACGAGAAATGACGAGTGCTCCTTTGGTAATCTTCCATTCACAGCCTGAAAAGGTTGTGCTAAATCCTTCACCATCAAGTTGTCCTACAGAAATCAAATTTCTTTTAAGGCCAGGAATATGTCTCACTCCTTTCAGCGTCCATGTGGTCTGGTTTGGCAACTTTAATCGGATGTCTCCTTTTCCGACGATCTTCAAGGTTTCATCATCGGCTAGATGAACATTCCCAAAATCACCACTGACATAGTTCTCCATGATTTCTCAGCATGGGGTGGAGTGGAAAGATGCCCCTGAATCCAAGATCCATGATTCAATTAGACTGTTGACGCTTAGAATCATGGCATGTCCTGTCTCCTCTATCACGTTGGTAGATTCCTGTGGGCCGGTATTTTTCTTCGGTGCTCGACAATCTCTTTTAAAGTGACCCTTCTTGCCGCAGTTATAACAGGTAAAATCTTTCTTTCCCGTTCTTGATTTTCCCGTTCTGGATTTGGATCTGCCACGATTTGAATTTCTTTCTGAAGTTCTCCCTCTGGAATCCGTGTGCAAGGCTGAGGAGGTTGATGCTTCACCCGATTCTCTCCGTCGAATTTCTTCACTCAGTACCAGATCCCGAACATTGTCAAATTTCAATTTACTATTTCCCGACGAGCTGCTAACTGCTATAACAGTAGCATTCCAACTGTCTGGTAGGGATGATAATAGAATTAAAGCTCGAACTTCATCATCGAATTTAATTTCCACGGAACTCAACTGAGTTGTGATTGTGTTGAGTTCATTCAGGTGTTGAGCCACTGATGCCCCTTCCGTCATCCGCAAATTGAATAATCGCCTCATCAAATGAACTTTGTTTGAGGCCGATGGCTTCTCATACATACTGGAAAGAGCCGCCATAAGACCCGCCGTGGTCTTTTCCTTTGCTATGTTGAAAGCAACATTTCGAGACAACATCAGCCGGATAACTCTGAGGGCTTGTCGGTCGAGAAGAGCCCAGTCTTCATTCTTCATGCCATCTGGTTGCTTTTCTGAGAGGGGTTGATATAGATTTTTCTGGTACAGAAAATCTTCGATCTGCATCTTCCAAAAGCCAAAGTCCGCACCATCGAACTTTTCAATTTTCACCTTCCCTTCGTCTGCAGCCATTGCTCCCACTCGAATCTGGCTTCTTCGGATTGTTTCTGACAATTTATGTGAACCACCGTGTATTAGAAGACCTCCGTCGACAAACTCGTATCGCCGACCGAATTTTACTATTCACAAAATTCACTATTCACATGAATAGTAACCTGAATAGTAACCTCGCATAAAATTTGACAGAATTCACAACCATAAGCTCTGATACCAGTTGTTGGGAAATAAACAAGTACAAGTAATTTCCCTATAACCAGATTAGTGAGAATACGAAATAAAAGCGGAAAAATAATACCCGAAATTGATAACAGAGTTCAGCCAATTGTGCTTACGTCTCCGGACTGCTGCAGATCTTTTACTAAGAGAGAAAATTTACAGGTGTTTACAAAACACTCACTACTCACAAGAAAACTCTCTAGTATTGGGAGAAAGAAATGATTTTTGGGATGATTTTGAAACTAAATGAGTTAGGGTATTTATAATTGAAACTTATGACTAATCTTGTAGTTAACCCTATTTCTATTTCAATAAAAAATTGGGGCACCGAATTCGGTTCCCCCAAATGTTGAAAAAACCCAAACCGACGCCCCCAAATTCTAAAAAAATAAGCCCCTTTTGTTGACTTATAATTAGGCGGTGCTCCCCCACCATTTTTTTGACTTTTCTTCAACAACAAGAACCCAGATAAGAAGGATATTTTGGGAAGAGAATCAAAGGGTGCGGAGGGTAGAAATGATGATGAATCTGGGAGGGTAACTCTAACTCTGCACACCGCTTATGAAGATGATAGTTGCAGTTGTCGCAGCCGTATCTGGGACCCTCTAGAGGCTGATCACACCCGAAATAGTGAACTGCTTTACTCGGGTGTTGGATAAACAACAATGGATGTTGGTGGCTGAAATGATGGAGTTCCATTGGCAAGAAACAAGAGTAGAGTTTAATAATCCAGACCTTGTGGTTTAGCAGATGCTTGAGTTGAATTGCGTGGTGATAGTGGGTGGTAAGTAGTATTTTTAATCCTCAACCTTCATTGTTAATAACGACCTCATTTTTTTATATTATTATTATTTAAACATTTCACATAGTTTATATAAAAAAACATTATATCTTGGGGCGTTAAAATACACTGACAGGTATATCGGCTATAGTTTATACAAATTAAGAATGGCAACCGAGCGGGTTCGGGGCGGGTTTTGCTCGCCCCGTCACCGTCCCCGTCCCTAAAATGAATCCCCATCCCCGACGAGGATTTTTTTGCCCCGTCCCCGAACCCGACCCGAAATATTATACCTAAACCCGAACTCGAAAATATTATATATATAATTAATATAAAATATATAAAATATTATATATATAATTAATATAAAAAATAAAAATATATTATATATATATAATCGGGGCGGGGCGGGAATACCTTGTCCCGAACCAAAAAAAATCCCCGAAAAAATCTCTGATACCCGACCCGACATCATTCAAACCCAACCCGACCCAAACTTAACTGGGTTTCGGGTTTCCCCGTCGGGTTCGGGTCATTCTGCCATCCATAATACAAATGGTGTTGCTCACGATCTTGTTTTATTTATTATGTATGTCCGTGTCATTATATTTTAACCTTTATTTTTTTAAATTTTTCACGTAAATATTGATGTTTTTTTATTTTTTATTTGATCATATTCTTTACTGTTAATCGTTCCGATAACTATATCACCCTAAATGGAAATGTGTAGGTAAGATTGGCAACAGTATTTGGTGTATATCCACTTGGCCTTGTCGTTGAAACGACATTATTTTCTCGTACAAGAATTATTCATAATCTCTTAACTTTTATCTACTTACCTATGTTCCAATTTTGTATTTATTATAGATAATTTATAAGGAATTACTTTGATTCATCTCCATTGAAGCACACAATGGAAATCTCCTTACAATTTCAGGTAAATCTCCTGTTTGCACTCTTTTCCACCATAATTATTACCATATCAGTGGCCATCATCCTTGTTACAGGCAAGAAGAAACAACAGAGGATGCCCCCGGAGCCTGCCAGCGTGATAGCGTTTATCGGTCATCTTCGTCTTCTTGGGAAAAACCAGCTGCTGCATAGAACATTTGCAGACATGGCCGACAAGTACGGACCGGCTTTATAGACCCGTCTCGGGATTCATCGAGCACTTGTGGTGAGTAATTGGGAAGTTGCGAAGGAATGTTTCACAACCAATGATAAGGTCTTCCTCACACGTTCAAAGTCCTTAGCCGTAAAGCATATGGGGTACGACCGTAACATGTTAGGCTTCGCACCTTATGGACTGTATTGGCGTAGTGCAAGGAGACTAGTAACGGTGGAGCTCCTCTCTAGTCGTCGGCTCGAGTTACTCAAGCATGTTCCCGACATCGAAATTGATAGTTTTATAAAGGATTTATATGAGCAGTCGGTGAGGAACAGAGGCGTTGCTGTAGTGGATGATTGCTGGAAAAAGATACTATGGTACTGAAGGAATCGAGGAATTGAGACGATGCCAGAAGGCCTCTTGTGGTTTCTCTTATTTGGCAGGGTTGTTTTTGTTTTCCGATGCCTTGCCTTTTCTTGGTTGGCTTGATGTAGTGATGGGAAACATAGGAAGAATAAAGCAGACAGCAAAGGAGTTGGATTTTGTACTCGGAAGCTGGGTGAACGAGCATCGCGAAACGAGGTGCAACGAAGGTGTCAAAGGGGATCGGGATTTCCTCGATTTCATGTTGTCGATCATGGAAGAAAGCAATGTTCCATCTTGAGAGGCCGATGATACCATTAAAGCAACTTGCCTGGTATGTTATTGTTGATTAGAATCATGTAATTCATAGCAACATCAGACAACAGATAACCTTTGACTAGGTAATTGTGATTGCAGATTATTGTCTTGGGTGGCATTGAAACCAATGTGGTCACACTCACATGGGCAGTCTCCCTGCTTTTGAATAATCTCCATGTGCTGAAGAAGGCCCAAGATGAACTCGACATCAATGTCGGAAACCAACGGCAAGTGGAAGAGTCGGACATAAACAACTTAATATACCTGCAAGCATTATCAAGGAAACAATGCGGCTATACCCTGCAGCGCCTCTATCTGTACCAAGAGAAGCCATTGAGGACTGTACAGTAGCTGGTTTCCATGTTCAGGCAGGCACTCGACTTTTGGTTAACCTCTGGAAGTTGCAGCGTGACCCCGGAATTTGGAGTAAGCCATTAGAATTCTTGCCTGAGAGATTCCTCAGTGACCATGCTAACATAGATGTGAGGGGTCAAAATTTTGAGCTCATACCTTTTGGTTGTGGTAGAAGGATTTGCCCAGGTATCACTTTCATGCTTCGGTTCCAACACTTAGCTTTGGCTCGACTGCTTCACGGATTAAAATGGGGAACAGTCTCGGATAATGCAGTCAATATGAGTGAAAGCCCCGGAATATCGGTGCCTAAAGCTACACCATTAGAGGTTACTCTTACCCCAAAGCTACCTTCCATGCTCTATAGGTAATTGGTGCAAAGATGCATATGGCTTGGTTTGCAAGTCAAGTTGAATGCACAGATGTGTGTCCAAAGTGTCTGTCAAATCAAATACTTCTGCTATGAAAGGAGATAAAAACTAAGTAATTTACAATATTTTCTTATTTTTTATCTTTTCTCCACTCGAATAATTATATTATACTTTTGCTACAAAATCCTATTAAAACATGAAAGATTAAAATAAATAAAAATTTTAATATAAATTGTTTATAAATGACTTTCGTGATATGAAATAATTATATTATACTTTTATAGGCTATATATATATTTGATTTATGTTTATTTATACTCTATTCAAATTGAGTGAAATAGAAGAGATGGAGAAAATCATATAATGTTGAATACCTTCCTTTACAAATTTACAACTAGGCAATGCCTTGTCCAAGCTAGGCAATACCATATTACAATTTGGAGTAAAGGAAAATAAAAAAATAAGCAACCTTAAGCTGCAAGTAACAAGCCAAAGCATAATGCTCATGAGCTATTCACTCTATCTTCTTCTTCATGCATAGACTGTAAAATTTAAAATTACCCTCTTTTACCTTGCTTTTTTTTAACCGATGTGGCAGCTAAAATTATTTGGTTTGTACACGTGGCTCCTTCCACAGCCGCCAAGGGTGCCTTCCGAGGCCCACTAAACGAGCCTGCCTCTTCCCCCGTCATCATCGTCAGAAAGGAAACCGTGTTGGATCACCCTCAAGTTTGGTGCATGTTCAGCCACGCGCCACACCTTGATTGATTTATCGAGGCTGCCAGTGTAAGCAATCCACTTGCGGTCGGAGTTGCTCGAAGTGCCGTGATCTTCTTCAACCGCTATGCATTTCACCGGGCCGGTGTGACCGGATAGGACCGAGAGGAACATGTGGATGGCGCCTTCTTCTCGCCTCCAGACGCATATGCTCTTATCGGCTGAGCCGCTGAACACCAAGTTTCCGGCGGTAGCCATGCAGAGAACCGCCATTTTATGGCCCCTTAAAACCCCGCCGTGCGTTAGGTTTTGGTTCCCATGTTCCCAGAAGTTGACGAGTCCGTCGGAGGATCCGCAGTACAACTTCGCCGATTTCTTGCTCACGGCCAACGCCGTCACCGCGTTCTCTTGCTTCAACAACATTTGAACCATGGAATGCTTGGTTCCTTTCTCTAGAAACTCTCTCTTCCAGGCCTTAACCGTCCCATCAGCAGAGCCGGTGAACACGAAGCCATCGAAACCGACGGCGACGGAGTTTATAGCATCGTCATGCGCGTCGTCGACGGATTCCAAACACTTAAAATTCGATATCCGCCACACTTTCATGGTTTTATCCCATGACCCTGAATATAATAGTCCGAATTCTTCATTCAAACTCAAGCACGAAACAGCATCGAAATGCTTGATCCGAAGAACGCTCTTCTTCTTCCGAACTTCAACGTAATTCTTCGGTTTAACAGAGCCTTTGAGGAAATCAGTGAAATTCGGGAAACTGCCGTTTCTTTTGATCACGCTAGGGTTCGACGATGAAACTTTCCAGCAACGGATTTTACCGTCTTGATGACCCGTGAAGATCAGATCACCCAACACGATAATGGCTTTAACCAGCCCACTTTTAGCTTTGAAACTCGAAAACTCCTTCAAGTTCTTCCAGACGCGGATGGTCTTGCTATCGGTGCCGGTGTATAACACATCACCGGCGGCGACCAATGAATAAATATGGCCTTCTTCTTTAACGATAGACCCGATGAGTCCGATTTGGCCGAAATCGTTCTCGAGGGCAGACGAAGAACTAGGGAAATGCCATGGAGAAGGCTGAATCCACGGCGACATCATGCGAGGAGGAGAACCCTCGCCGCTCGTCGTGGTGCTGATGGAATACCTCGGACTGGCCATTGAAGCATTGCTATGACGATGTGGGGAGTCTTCTTCTTCCTCGCCAGTGCCATTGTTTATTGCAAACAAATTGCTAAGATTACTTGGTCGGCCACGGTGGCCAGCGTGTTCCAAAACCATCGTTCCACCTTCATCGTTCCTCATTTTTTGACAAAAAAACTGATGATTTTGATCAGAAAAATCGGAATTTGTAATGTCAAAGGTGAAAGGAAAGCATTGGCGAGAGATTGTTTTGAGGGTAAAATGATGGGATAATGCGAAGATTATATATAGATGGAGATTAAATTAGTGTTAGGTAAATGTGAGGTTCTGGGTTTTTTTGAAACGTGGTGGGATGAGTGGAACCGGCTATTGCCAGTAATAAGGAAATAAATAGCAATTTAAGATACCCGTTAAAATTAAAATAAAACAAATTATATAATTAGACAAAGTGCCCTGCTCTATACATGGATATGTAGACGTGTTCATAGGGATTGGCATCAATACTTTTGATCACTTCGATTTCATAAAGTTAGTTTTTTAATTAAATTTTTTTTATTAAGGTCAAATTATGTTGAGTTCGAATTTATGATTAATTTTTTTTTATTTGATTGATTAAAAAAATAGTATAGTTATCCTTTATATATTTAGGAATAATTTATACATATTTTAATTAAGTCTCTATTTTATCTAATAAATTTTTTTTCTATATATACTTCAAAAAGATTGATAGCTTTTCGTATTGGATTGAGCCTCCTTAAAGTTGGGTCTAGTCTGATAATAGGTGGAGGGATAGAATGTTCTGTTAGATCCTTTTTATTTAAACATGTTATTATTAGAATAATGATGTGATAATATTAGTTTGAACAATATATGCTAATAATAATATCGTGATTAATTACTGAAACATATCTATTAAATTCAATTGTGTTTCATATCAGCAGTAGTGCGTCCATCCATTTTACAATAGCGGCAAACAAAAATTCAAATGAAAACGATGTCTTTAGCCTTAGTGCCCTTCGGAAGTGGACCCTCTTACCTTCCATGATCACCATAGATATGGCATATTGATCTCTTTCTGGTATCTTCTATTGCCACCAATCACCACAAATAATATATCGATAGTTACCATAGAGTAACATTTAATTGCCCTTAGCTATTAGTTTAATGGTGCAATTTCACGTCCCTTAAGTTTGTTAACGTGAATGAGTTAAGATCAAATATTGGGGACTAAATTGTTTTATGTCAAAAGAAAAATGATCTATTAAGAATTTAATTTAAAATTTGAGAGAGGCATAGGTCTTATTTGACTAAATATTTAAACTATAAAGGATCCGAAAAGTTTGCAGATTCGTCGTTATTTATTAACATCAAATTTACGGTTCGAATCTTCTACGACAACTCTTTTCTCATCTTTCAAATCTATTGTACTTTGGTGCATGTATAATATATGTGCGAACACTAAACAATGATAGAATTAGACATTTTATTTCATAAGATCAATTATTAAAAATAATTTTAACAATAATTCTATCCGTCAAACTATGTATATCTATACATGACCACATGCAATAAATGTAGATTTATAATGTTTTATCGAGAAAATTTTTGTTAAGATTTTCTTAAAAGGAAAATGAAATAAAATCTTGACACTCAATTATTAATTTTTGTGTGTGGAAAGATCCATTATTTTCAAACCTTAAAATAAGTCCAAAATAGGGTTTCGTTGGGGATGACTCAACTCACTCCTAGCCACAGGTTGGCTAATCAAGCTCTTTTCTGGGTTAGTTCAACGACTGCACCATTACTCCGACTTTGAACCATTTCATGACATTACCCAGACACTGCATTTTCTTCCCGATTTCTGGTGCAAATTGGTTCGGTTGTCAGCCCATCACAATTATTCTGCTTTTCCAAACCTCGACAACTCCTTTTTAGTCCACGTCTTGTCGCTCGTCTTCTTCTCTCTCTCAGTCTTTATATTGATATATGCACTGCCTACTGGTGTTTTGCTCATGTTCAGGAAATGGACATCGTTAAGGATGACAAACATGAAAGAGACAAATCAACATTAAACAACACGAAGATACATTCCCTGTAATCATCGTCATGTCGTGCACTGACTGATCAGGTCCCATACCCTAATAATGTCATTGATTATTGAGGAAGAAGAATATTTTTAAGTGATCATAGCACAAATGGAAGACCAACTTTCAGCTGTACAACTGGCTTATTAATAATTATCTTTCTCCTTTGCCTGTGATCTTTTTTATTTAGAATTTTTATATAAATTTTTATATAATTATCTTACTATCTTGTTTGTTTATTTATAATTATTTTTTTTCGATTAAGCTAAAAGTGATTACAAAGTAACATCTGTTTTTATTACTCTCAAGCATTTGATAATGAACGTCCAATCACTATTACAGTCGATGGTGCTCGAATTCATGACCTCTAAGAATAATAATGATTCCTTTAACTACTGAGAAAAGTTGGTTCATGTATTTATAATTATCTTTCTGAATTCATGATATAGTAGCAAACATTTATTAACCTTGTGGAAATTAATGGATTAGTTACCAAAATAATTTTTGAGTTATTTATACTTTTTATGTTTGATAATTATAAAATATTTAAAAAAAATAACTGATGGATTGTGCTTTGAGAGGTTATGTTAAATATTTGAAGAAGGATAATTATTTTTAACATTATAATAAAAAAATGTGTCATGATTTATTTTACTAATAAAAATTACAATTATTGATGGATAAGGGTTGGCGGGGTCGATCCCTGAAAATTTTAAATTCTCATATAATTTATATATTTTCTATTGAAAGTTTATTTTTACTCCATAAAATTTTATAAATTTGCCCCTAAATATTTGTAAGTTGTATCTCTCAAATATAAAATTGTGCGTCAGTTCCTGATTAATAACTATAATATTATTGAAAAATTAAAATATATGTTTTTAATAATTAAAAATAATGTTTTTTTAGTCCAAACAGATAGCCCATTCTCCCAATAAAAGGCCTCCATCCTATGGCTCGAGCTTCTTCTTCACCAAACTTGGAAACAAAGAGGCCCAATAAACAAAGCTGCCATTAGAGATGATCATAAATCGAGTTTTTAATTTACCTCGATTCAAATATAATATTTTTCTTTATCATCTCATAAGATTAATTTAAAAAAGAATTATTCAATTTAATTTTTAACATGAAAATTCAAATTGATTTGGTCCAAAAGAAATATATTTTCAATGAAGTCCGAATTAGGGCACTAACTCAAAGTACATAGTTAAACAGTACCATAGCTAAGCATCTTCCTCCACGTGACACTCAATGTCCAAAACAAGCCAAAATCATTTGCCTTTTCCCAGGAACACCAGGAGGCGTCTCATTGGTTTATTACTATTTTCCAGTCATCTCGAACACGCTGCGAATTGTTTATTAACATGTTCTGTTTTGATCACTCTTCGGTTTTATCCATAGCATTGTGACTCGTAAGCTGAGGGATAGGATTCTGGAAGAAGAAAAAAAAGATGAGTTATTTAGCAACGAGGGCTAAGCAAGAAACTAGTCATCTGATGAGTTCTGATTTCAAAGAGCTCGTCTTTGCTGCTAAGAAGCTCGCTAATCATTCCATCATGTTGGGTGCTTCCGGATTTGGGGTTTCAGTATTTGAGTGGGTCGCTTCTTTTGCTGCCATGTATGCTACTCTTTATTTCTTCATAGCTTCATCCTCAGATTTCAGGGTTATTTCAATTGTATTCGCCTTCGAATCCTTTTGAGTACAGTTAGTTTGGGTTCAGATCGATTAGAATTCGGGTTGTTGGCTTTTTATGATCAAATCGAATTAGTACTTGTTTTTAGCTTCATTCTCTGATTTTAGGTTATCTGGGTCGTATTCGAGTTCGAATTGTTTGGAGTACAGTTGGCTTGGATTCAGATCTATCAGAATCCAGGTTGTTGACCTTTTTATGATCAAATCAAATCAAAACTTGTTTTTAGCTTCATTCTCAGATTTTAGGGTTATCTCGATTGTATTCGTGTTCAAATTGTTTAGTTAGAATTCAAGTTGTCTATTTTTTATGATCAAATCAAAACTTGTTTTTAGCTTCATTCTCAGATTTTAGAGTTATCTCGATTGTAACCGGGTTTGAATCGTTTCGAGTACAGCTAGTTTAGATTCAGTTCAAATAGAATTCAGGGTGTTTGATTTTTTATGATCAAATCGAATTAAAACCTGTTTTTAGCTCCATTTCCAGATTTTAGGATTATCTCGATTGTATTCAGGCACGAATTGTTTTGTGTACAATTAGTTTGGATTCGGATCGATTAGAATTCAGGTTGTTACTTTTTATGCCCAGATCGAATTACGACTTGTTTTTACTTCGAGTTAATCAAGTTTTTCGAATGCAGATCAGAACTGACGTGTTCAAGAATTCTAATGGTTTATTGTTCTGTCCTTCCTTGTGGTTATTGCAGATATTTATTGATTTTGGACAGAACAAATTGGAAAACAAACATTCTTACAACATTACTAATCCCATACATCTTCTTGAGTCTTCCTTGGGTACTGTTCAGCGCCTTCCGGTAAAGATCCATTATCGTATCGTACCTCAAGCATTCCTTCGTCTCCTCGAGATTAATAAATTGTTTTGGTCGTGCAGCGGAGACATCGGAAAATGGATTGCTTTTGTTGCAGTTGTTTTACGCTTGTTTTTCCCTAGGCGTTTTCCAGGTATGATGTTTGTTTTACTATGTTGATATCTCCTTGTTTCACTATGTTTGCCCTTACTAGTGCACTAGCCTACTTGATTTGTTTAGCGATTGGTTTATCGCCCCGTAATGTAAGTTGTTCAAGGTGCTTCTTGGCAAGGTTGTCGGGTTTTGATAGTTACTTGCCATGCTAAACGGCCTGGCTTTCCGGCTGACAACCGGACAAGTCGGGTGTTTTCGACCTCGTGGGCGTCTTAGGCTTTCCTTGCACCTTAGCCTGGCCGATATAACACGCCGAGGACCGATGCTTGTTTTGCCTTGTATTGTTTGAAAGATTATGCATTGAAGTGGTTGGTGAGTTGACAACTACGATCTGAAACTGCAGATTGGCTGGAATTACCGGCCGCTTTGATTCTTCTAATCGTGGTGGCTCCGAGCTTATTCTCGAGCACGCTGAGAAACAGCTTGGTTGGTGTGTTGATATGCCTTGCCATTGCTTGTTACCTTCTTCAAGAACACATCAGGGCATCGGGTGGGTTTCGCAATTCATTCACGAAAGCGCACGGGATATCGAACACGGTCGGCATTATTCTCCTGTTGGTCTATCCTGCTTGGGCTTTGATCGTTGAAATCCTGTAGGCTCTTAAATCACCAGTTTTCTTGATTTTATTTGCATTGTTTACTTGTTACACTATAATTAATGGACTGGTTCTTGTATTTAAGACATGTATCTATCCATCGAGTGTTCATGCAAGTCCGAGTGTACTGATTTTTTGTTTTGCATTGTTTGAAATCGACTTCTTTAACACTATTTCTAGTTTCGTAAACCGTCTCATCCTATTAGATTAACTAATAATTAATATAGGTAAAATTTTAGTTTAATTTACATAATTATTATTGTATCGCACAAGATGTAAGTTGAAGCACATTGTACTAAAAGAACTAAAATATGATATAAAATATATTATAAAAGGTAACGTGAAAATGACATTGAAATATAAATCAACACATATTTAATGAGACGGTAAAGAGTTTGATACTTTATTAGTAAGGTCTCAAAATTTTGAAACTTTACCTCAAAAATAATAGTCATGAAGATAAAAGGTAAATAAATAGTTTGGTATGTAAACTTGAAATTTTAATTTGATATGTAATTTTTTTGTCTTATTATGCACCTAAATTTAATTTTAGAGTTTAATTTGATACTCAATTTTTTTGTATAATTAAGTATAGACTCGATTTTTTTATTCAAATTGGTATTTATAATTTTTAACTAATAATGATACCATTAAGTCTCATGATTCACAATTTGGTCAGTTGTAATTTTCCACATTTAGGTACCAATTTGAGAAAGATTATCAAGTTCAGGTACTAGTTTGTATAATAAGCCAACAAATACATTGAAAAGCTTCCTCTCCGTAGCATTAAAACCCCAACGCGGCTAGTGTTTGAGGCTCTCTCTCTCTCCCTCTCCCTCTCCCTCTCCCTCTCCATCTCCATCGACCACTCGAATCGAAAATCACAACAGAACTCAAACAGAAGCAGCGATGTTCCCAGGTATGTTTATGCGCAAACCCGACAAGGCGGCGGCCTTGAAACAGCTGAAGGCACACGTGGTTATGTTTGGGGTCTGGGTAGCCGTGGTTCGTGTCACCCCTTACGTTCTCCATTACCTCTCCGATGAAAAGGATGAGCTCAAGCTCGAGTTCTAGATTCAGGTAAATTCAAGGACTTTAGCTTTATTGTACCCTGAAATCTTTATTATAAGAAGAAGGCCAATTCTGGGGACTGGGTATTGTTTGCTATGTGGATTTTTACAGACTATTGTTATGTAAATGGAAGTTCTCCAAATGGGTATACTCAGGAAGGCAATGAAATTCTGGATGGTTATAATAGGATCTAACATTGACAGGGGCTGAATTGCTTAACCTCTAAAGAACAAGGACCTATTAAGTATTTAAGCTTAAAAGTATCATCTTTGTTAAAGTTTTGGCAGGGGATGCCTTGTCCTATAGGTGAACAACGGTTGCCTTGCCTTCCTAGGGCACTTTCAATTTCCTGATTGTCATCTTTGTTAAAGTTTTGGAGTATATTCATTGGCTTCGGATGATTTTCTTTTATCACAACTGTTTTCGGGGTTCGGATCTATCCGTTCAACTTCCTTGAAAGTTGCCATTACTGTCTCGTTGCGAGTTGAGTGTGTTATAAAAGCTATGAAAGCCATTCTTTGTATCCATTTACATAAGTGTGCATTGGTGCCTTTCCCTTGCCAAGTAGTATGACTACTGGTTCTTATGCCAAATTTGTATAGCTGTTAGCAAATCCCCATTTTCATGGGCAAGTCTCTTTTATCTTTCTTCCAAACAATATCGTTATCTAAATTAGTCGCTCTGCATTTCAGTTTAGATTTGCATGCCTGCATGGTGACAATCGAAATAGAATACTGTTATTTAACTTTTTCTGCGATCGTTGAGTAAGATTATCAGTCCAGTGCACCTAAAATCTATGCCTTCAATATGAATTTAGTGGCTGGGAAAAGTTTGTTGCTGATTTTTCCTCCTATTATGATGCAGTGGATTTACAAGCCGAGAATTGAATCGGAACACGAAAGAGTTTGTGAGTTCCAGTTTCCTTTTCCGATTTAGTACAGGGCCGAAGTGTGATCACATTAGTTTATTTGCGTGCTTGCTTTGGTCATATGATTGTTGGTCTTTTTATTCAAATGAATCCAGTCATAACTACATGAATATACAATCACCTGGTCTCTGTTAGTATTTGGATTTTGGATCGGATTTTAATTTAGTGCCCGAACTTAAAGAACGTTCTAATTGTGCCCTCAAAGAGCTGATATTGTATCGATTTGGTCATTATGTCATCTTAGCCATAAGCTTAGTCGTTAAATGTTAGTTCAAATGTCCTACTTGATGTTAGGTCTATAAAAGAATTTGATTGATATGATTATATAATATTTTAAAGATTCAATTAAACTACAAACAATTTAGGTCATGGTTTGAGGACCTTAAAAAAATGGTCTTATTGGTAAGGGTGAGCAAACTGATTCTTTTACTTCACTCGATGCTACATAAATTTGATCGGACTCAACTCGAGTATAATACTCTTAAATTGTCATTTGATTCGATTTGGATTTAATGAAATCTTACCCATTTTGAAACAAATATGTAAAAAAAAAAATATTAGATAAAATAGAGACGTAACTGAAGAAGTATAGAGAATATTTTTTTTAATAAATCTGGGTGAATGTAAGGTAATATCTGTTTAAAATTTTTTAATCATTTGATAATGAGTGCTCATATCTTGACATACGTGGTGTTTAAATTCGAAGTGAACAACAAATTTTTAATCAAATACTTTTAGTGTTGACAATTGGACAAATTTATTTTTAATCAGTACGAAAAGGGATGGTATAAAATAAAAAATAATTGTAGAATTAAGAATCTATGCTCTTTGACTCGATCATTGACCATATCTAAATCCCCACTTTATTTAGCAGCCTCAAATTGCATACTTAATGCATCTAACTTTTTTTAATTAATTATCAGTATCTAATTTATTGATCGAATAATCGAGATTAGATTTTGTAGAGGTTTATTGTGAGAGTGGTTTTTTCAACTAGGAATGGCAACGGGCTGGGTATTAGTCCCCATCCCTGTCCTTATTTAAAAAACCCGTATCCGTCCTCATTTAAAAAACTTGTACTCGTCCCCGCTTAAAAAACCGTGGGGATTTAAACGGGGATCTCCATCGGGTAATCGGAGAAAACCGCGGGGAAACGAGTATCCCCGTTTAGCATAAACGGTTATTTAAACGGGTTTCGGGCCGGGTATATATATTTAAATTAAATATATAAATATTATATATATTTTTAATTTAAATTAAATTTATTAATATTATATATATATATAATAATTATTTTTAATATTTATCGGGGCGGGTAATCGGGGCGGGGATTACTAAACCCGTCCCCATTTAACATAAACGGTTTTTCCCCGCCCCGTTTAGCATAAACGGTTTTTCCCATACCCGTTTAATTCGGTTTTCGGTTTTCTCCGTCGTGTTAGGGTTTTTTTGCCATCCCTATTTCCAACCCAATTTGTTCTATTCGTAAACGTAAAATTTAAATCTTTAACCTTAAGAAATCTAATATATGATCGTATAAGACAAACTGATTGTTGATCTTGATGCATCACTTTTAGTTCCTATAAAAATGTAAGAAACTATTGGCTTTCTTCAAAACCTGGGAATTGGAGCATCTTTGCCCTTGCTTTTCTTTCCCTATAAAATGCTCAATGTCACACCCGTTTTCCTCCATTCCAGCCTCAGTTCCACTCTCTTTTTTCATCTCGACTTGGTTCGGCTTAGATGACCGTGTTGTGATAGTATAATTCGAAATCATCGATTCGAAAATGGGTGTTTGTGCATCTTCTCAACACTCGACGAGGAAGGGCGGAAACTCGAGCCGACCGCCACCCACGACCAAAATCATACATCCAAATGGAAACCTTCAAGAATTCAGGCAACCCATCAAAGCCTGCCTTATTCTCTCTCAGAATCCGGACTGTTTCCTCTGTGACTCGGAGCTCATGTACGTAAACTCACGCCCTCCTCGCGTACCCGATGACGAACAGCTTCGACTTGATCGAATCTACTTCCTCATGCCACTGTCCAAATCTCAAGCGACACTTTCTCTTCAAGAATTGTGTTCACTTGCCGTTAAAGCCAGTGGATCACTATCTCATTTGAACACTGTTTACTCTTCACAAGGCATCATTTTCATGTTTTCTAGAGTCCAGAATTTAGAGGTTGAATAACAATTCAGATGTGGTGTAAAGTATATTAAAAACACGTTAAATTTCAAACATACGTATTCCTATTACATATGAAAATTTTATTTTAATTCATTTATAATCGTATAAATTCGAGTTAACATTTAATTGTTAAATTGACGAGGAAACAAGAATGATATCATACAGGGACAACCATATCTTGCAGAAACAACTGTGCTGTATATGCTTTGTATATTTCCAAATCATTATCTTTTCTGCATTATAAAAGGCAAAAAGGCAAAAGATCAATTGTGCAATGTATTTATTCGATTATATTTGACAAAATCACCAGTTCTATAATATAATATAAGCTGTTTTAGTTCCAAATTGGTAGTTGGTTGAACACCACTTTACTTGAATATTTTATTCAGCAAATTGCCTTATGCAAGCAGGCAGCTGCACAATATATACATATATATATAAAATATTTGGACTCACCTTAATTTCCAAACATGTTACATTACGTTGATGTCATGTTGATAACTGAAGAGAGGACTTGAAACAGATAGGATCAAAATTAGATATGATCATGAGTTGGATTATATCAGGTTTTTTGTTCATTCGAGTTTGATTTGAGTATTATATTCTTTCATTTCCATCTGATTCAATTTAGATTTAGGAAGGTTTCACTTGACCTAAATTATAATCTAATTTCTAAGGAAAAAATTTGCACCCGCACCTTACTATGATATCTCTCTATCTATACTTTTTCAATTACGTTCCTATTTTACTTGATAAAAATAAAGTTTGTTTGTGTTGGGTTGAGTTGAATACAAATTTTCACCCTAAAAATTGAATTGATTAGTCGGATGAAACTTTTTGAAATCCGGGCTGAATCAGGTGACAGGTTAAGAGGTATATACTGGAGTTAAGTTCAAATGGATTACAAACTTGACCCGACCTATGATCATCTCTAAGTGTAGTGGGAAATGATAAAAGAAAAGAGCTCATATGTCATCTCGCGATTATTTCCCCCAAAAATCTATCAATTATTTTTCAACATTTTTACTCAAAATCAAATGGGATAAGATCCTTTTATCATATTAATCGTGTACATAAATATTCTCCAATCATCTATGAAACTGCATAAGGAAACAAAAGACAGACGCAAGCACACAAGCAAAGAAGCAACAAAACCCAGAAATGATGAGCAATAACTATGTTACATTACAGCATCAAATGACTGAACCTTCAACTCTTATTGAACCCAAATTAGGAAGCACTTCAAGCCTGAGAGCAGGCCACCATCTCAGCCTTAATGGCTTCAACCAGGCGATCATAAGCTTCACCCCATGCATTCTTCATCTCAGCTGACCTCATTTCTGGAACTGCTTCCTTTATGGTCTCAGAAAGAGCGAATGTTGTCACCTCAAAATGTTCAGCAACTACACCATACTTGAAATGGGTAGCCCCTAGTTTCTTCAGAGTCGTCTCTCTCACTGTAACTTTGCCGGCTTTGCGTAGCTGAACAGCAGATTCACATGTCTGTAGACAATGACGGATGTAAAATTTTATGTTAGGAAACAAAAATATATTATCAATAGAAAATACAAAGAAAATATCTAAATTATTTGAGAATTCCAACTTTTCGGGGGAACACCGCCGTCCGCCGGTTCATCCATGCATGTTTTCAGGGACCAAGTATGTTCATAGCATAATAGAGGGACCGAAACCACAATTTGACCGGAAACTTAATATGCAGAAGGCTTTACGTACCATAACAAAGACAGACATTGCATGGGGCTTGAGCTTTTGCTCCAATGGAACATTTGGGTCTCTCAAGAATCAAAACAGCTTCGTGGCTGATGGTGCGATCTCAAAAATCCTGCCCCATTTTTGAAAATTTAGTGACCAAAACGATCATTTGAAAATAGTTCAATGACCGGATCATTGACAAGAACAAAAGAAATGAAAAATAAATACCAATCGAAATGCTTACTTCAAGAAGAATTTGAGACCCAATTCAGCTGAGTTTTTCTTCATTGCGGTCCATGACTTGACCACCAAAGGTTCTTGCTCTTCGGTGAAACCTTTTCCTTCATAGGCAGCCATTGTTGTTCAAATAACTCTGGGATTTTAGCAGCTATCTTGATTCCCAAAATTGCAATCTTTGCAGTATTTATAACTCTGGGATTATATCCCAAAAAGCTTTGTGCATGCCGATTATATGGCTTGAGTTGAATTATTTCATTTCGACTTTTTTTATTATGCATTTTTGTCGCGGCCGTCTTTCAGGTGAGTCCGGAATTAGGCTTCAACTTGAAAAAAACGTTAGAGTTGTCACCGATTATTTATTTTAAGGACAAAATAGGTTGATCATGTACCTTGATTTCTTACCTGATCGACATCTTACCAAAGATATGTCGGATTCGGGAGTCGGTTAGAGTCAAGGAATGATTAACATTTAACACCCTCGAACTACCCTTTCGGTACTAATTAATTTTCAGTTATCTTAATTAAGAAAATTGAAAAATAAAAGTTCGATCCAAATTATGTACCTTTGATGGATTTGAAAGAATACCCTTAAAAAGTTAAAAAAGTATTTGTTGAAAACATTTTGATATTTCGATATAACAAATTAAGTTAAATGAATTTTAAGATTTTTCAAAAGTTTTTCAAAAACTTTGCCCATTAGGATTGATTTAGAGAACCTTGAAATATTGAGGACTCAATTGAGTTTTGGGATTGATTGAATTGCATACATGTGTTTTCTAAATTGCAGGTTATCAATTTTATTCTGATTTCCTAAACTATGTCCAATCCTAAACGTGCTAGGTCATCATCTAGTCGCTCACACCGTCAACCAAATCCACCTTCAAATCCTCCTCCTATTCCAATTTCTAATCCTAATCCCATTGATCCTAACTTGACTATCCAAAATTCGTGTTTCAATCATCCTGGTCCTAGAAATCATCGTTTTTGGTATTATCAATATTTCGACTCTTACAAAAT